ATCACTGTAATAACAAATAGTTATGGCCAATAAGCCAACAGTGAGACAAAACAGAATGGTAAAAAATATTCAATTAATCCAAAATGAAGCAAGTAAAAAAAAAAAGAGGAAAAAAGGATAGGTAGGAAAAAAAAAACAAATAGCAAGATAACAGACTTAAAAATAACCATATCCATAAACACATTAGATGTAAATGTTCTGAGAAAGCCAATTAAAAGCCGTATTTTGTCAGACTGGATAAAAAAGCTGGATATAACTGTCTATGTTGCCTATAAGACAACTATAACAGAATAACAGGATAAAAGTTAAAGGATGGAAAAACATATACCCTGTTAACTCTAGTCAAAAGATGTGAAACTTTAAAGTAAAAACTAAAAAATAACACCACTAAGATACACTGGGTTCATGATTAGAATATTCATATTATTAAAATGTCAATTCTCCTCTTTTCATCCATAGATTCAATGTAATCCCAATCAAAATCACAGATAGCTTTTTTTTTTTTTTGGTACAGATGACTATAGAATTCATATGAAAATGAAAAGGACAGGGAATAGCCAAAATCTCTGAACCTAAACAGAGTTGAAGGACCAATACCATCCAATTTCAAGACATTATAAAGCTATAGTAATCAAAAAGGTGTGGTACTGACATACAGACAAAGAGGTAAGTGGAATGGGGAGGAGGGTACAGTTCAGTGGTTAGAGTGCATGTTTAGCATGCATGAGGTCCTGGGTTCAATCCCCAGAACGTCCATTAAAATAACTAAATAAATAAACTTAATTACCTACCCCCCCCAAAACAGTGGTAACTGGAACAGAACAGAGTCCAGAAACAGACTCACACATAGAGGATTCATTGATTTTCAAGGGTCCTTTCAGTAAATGATATTAGAACAATTTGGTTTCAATATGCAAATAAGCGAATTTCAATCTATATCTTTTTTTCTAAAAAAATTATTATTATTTTTTAATGGAGGTACTGAGGATTGAACCCAGGTCCTCGTGCATGCTAAACACACACTCTACCACTGAGCTATACCCTCCCCTTGCTTTATTATCTTACACACTATACAAACATTAAAAATGGATCACAGACTTAAAACTATGAAAGATTCATAGAAAAAAATGACAAAAACACTGTGACCCTGGGTTAGGCAAAGCTATTTCAGATATAACATCCAAAACACAGTCCATAAAATAGATAGGATAAAAACTGCTCTTCCAAAAATACTGTTTAAATATGGAAAGATAGGCCATGGAGCAGGAGAAAATATTTGCAAATCATATAGCTCATAAGAGAATTGTATCTACAATATATAAAAAATGCTCGAAACTCAGTAACAAGAAAACAACCTGATGTAGTGGGCAAAAAATTTGAACAGACACCACTCCCAGTAAGAAAAACAAAGGGCAAGGAAGCACATGAAAAGATGCTCAACATCGTGAATCATTAGGGAAATGAGATATCACGACATACCCATTTGAGTGGCTAAAATGAAAAAGACTGACCAGATCAAGTTTTTGCAAGGATGTAGAGGAACTAGAACTTTCATATGCTGATGGTGGAAATAGTAAGCGGTACGAAAACAGTTAAAGAACTGTTGGAAAACAGTTAAAGGACTGTTTCTTAAAACATTCAGACATCTACCGTATGATCCAGCTATTCCACTTCCAGGTACTTACTCCAGAGAAACCAAAGCATATGTTCCTACAAAGACCTGTATATGGATGTGCATATAGGCTTTATTTATAATAAGTAAAGACTGGAAATAACGCAAACGGCTATCAACAGTTGAATGGATGAAAAAGTGTGGTGTATTCATACAACGGAATGTCAGACTTGAAAGGAAATGAACTACGGATGAATCTTGAAATAATTACACAGAATGAAAGAGGACAGATAAAAAAAGTAGTGTGTGTGTGTGTGTGTGTATAATGCATATAGTGATTCTATTTATATAAAAGTTTAGGAAATGCAAACTAATCTACAGTGACAATGCAAATTAGTGCTTGCTTGGGGAAAAGGATGGGGTGGGAAGGGTTGGGAGAGATTGTAAAGGGACACAAGGAAACTTCTGCAGCAATGCATGTGCTCATTATCTTCATTTTGGTGATAGTTTCACGGGTGAATATGTGTGAAAAGTTATACTGTACACCTTAAATATGTGCAGTTTAGTGTATGTCCCTGATGCCTCAATAAAACTGCTATAAATGGAATATTTGCTTTCACTTTGAATACTTTTTAGCACTTACATTCTGGTAATTCATTTATGTGTAATCTCAGACATGTTTTGAATAGCATAAAACGTAATGTTAATTCTAATATTAGTCATTTGAGTTTCATCTCTGTATTATTCTCAAAAATCCAAGCTGGCTTAAATATTTAACCTGCTCCAAAGAATACAGGTCCTTAGAGACTTTCCTCTGTTTTTTCACCATCTATCTGAGATAGAAGCTACCTAATACTACCATTTTTCAGCTAATTGGTTTATGTAATAAATTTTCAATTTAAGCAATATAATTTTTGTGAGGCAGAAAAAAAGTAAAATCTATGGGCTATTTTAAATGATAATACTTCTTTTTTCAGTCTTAAAGGAAAACTATATACTACAGTCAGAATAAACTTTTTAATGGTTACTGATTCTCCATATGCCTAATGAAAAATTTCAAACATACACAAAAGTACAGAACTGAACAATGAACACATATGTACCTGTCACCAAGCTTCAAACATTATCAACATTTTGAGACTCTTGTTTTATCTATGAGCCCTCCCCTCCAACTTCTTAAGGAATATTTTAAAGCAAATTCCAGGTATCATACTATTTCACATCATAGATATTTCAATATTTACATCTTCTAATATAAGTCAACAGCTTTTTAAAAAATTGCTTCATATTAAGTTAATTATACTCACTACAAGAGCACTTAATTTCTTACATTTCTCTCCTACAATTTGTATAGGAGTGTGTAACCATTTAGAAATTCCTATTTCAATTAACTGAAGTGTGTGTGTGTGTGTGTGGTTTTCAAGAAAGTAATGGAAAGACATACATACAAACTTATATACATTTGTAAACTTTTACAAATTTTAGTATTTTTTAGGAAATAGTTTTGATAGGTTATTCTGAAATTAAAACAAACATGAGTGATCTATAACATATGAACAAGCAGAGGTTCATTTGTTTCTTTAGTTATTCACTTATTTATATATCCTTCCATGGTTCCACACCCAGTGATGTGCTGGGGCGGGCTTGTAGCAGTTTGTGAGAGATGGCTGGTAAAGTTTTAGGAGTTTTGTGAGCTGGTTGTTAAACATCACTCTTATTAAGAATTATTGAGGGGAGGGCATAGCTCAAGTGGTAGAGCACGTGCTTAGTATGCACGAGGTCCTGGGTTCAATCACCAGTACCTCCATTAAAAAACCAATAAATAAATAAACCTAATTACCTCCCCCTCACCAAAAAAAGAATTTATTTAAAAAATTATTTAAGATTTATAATAAAATGCATCTTATTAAAAAAATCAAAATAATAAAAAACTCAATAAATTTCTTTTTTTAATGGTGATGCTTAGGATTGAACCCAGGACCTTGTGCATGCTAAGCACGTGTTCTACCTCTGAGCTATATCCACCTCCACAAAAAAAAACTCAACAATTTTAAGTAATCTATTTTCTTCAGTTTACATGTCTATTGACAGTATTTTTTGAATTTTTTTTGGTGGGGGGGGAGGTAATTGGTTTGTTTGTACGTATGTACGTATGTATGTATGTATGTATTTATTTAATGGAGATACTGGGGATTGAACCTAGGACCTTGTGAATGCTAAGCAGGTGCTCTATCCCTGAGCTATACCTCCCCCTACATGGCTATTTTATGTGTGGTGGAAGTACCATGTGTGCTACTGAGCATCTTTACTCTCTGTTCAGCAATGCTATGCTGGAGGCCTGAAGTTAATCATGGTGGGAATATTTATGCCATCGATAGAAGCAAGTATTACAAATTAGGGCCATCCCTCACACCCCTGCCTGGAGAGCCAGCTGTTAACACTTGCCAGCACAACACTGCTTGCTTCCATCCTGAGCTCGGATGTCAGGTACTGTATAGTAACATGAAATATTTCTTGTCTTTCGAAATTTGAGCATCAGGATCCTAATGTTACAGCATTAAAAGCACATTAAATAGAGGACACTATAAAGACCAATATGAACAGGTCCGTAGGAAAACAAACACAGAATACGTGGTATGTATTCATAATTTTTAATACACGTTCTTAAAAATTTCTTTATTATAAGATCCAAAATATTAACACAGAAAAACTTGTTATGTTGGAACTCAGGAGATAAAAGGAACACTAGGGAGGAGGCATCTTTGGTTTGAATTGTTTTATCACTTGAATTTCAGAAATACAGAAAAATGTAATTAGATGTGCACTTTAATAATAATAAGACTGAAAATACTATGTAAAACATATATATATATTCTTTAAATGACACAATGCTAAGAAAATTAAGAAATATGAATCTGATTTTTTAAAAAATACATAGTTTAGGAACTATCATCTACCAAAGCATGTGAGGGCTTAAGTGTAGACCCAGTTAAATGTGTTTAATAGATAAGTGATTTTTCATCAAACAAAGAAGTCAAAAAGCAAATCTATTTTGAAAACGAGGTTTTAGGTAAAAACTTTAAATGACACCAAAATTTGCCAAACTTGTTTTGCCAGTTGATATTCTCTGAAATCAAAGCTTTGTCTGTCTAGTCTGCATTTATATTTAGTCTGGGCATTTAATCTTTCTTTTGATCTCAGTTTTGCCATACACTGTAAGTTGTTTTCTAAGGCTTTAACGTTAAGTTAGTTTCAGAGATTGTAAAGTCATTTTGTACCAGCAAACAGCTTACTTGAAAACTGTTCAGAAAATACACAAAGGAGTGACAAGGAATTAAAATGAACACTGTGATTCTTTATATGTGTTCCTTTTGTTGAGCTTACTTACCTCTTGTGAAAGCTGTGTTACTTGGTTCTTTTGATGTTCCAGGTCCTTTAAAACCAACGAGTTTTGTTTTTCTAACTGGAGCACTCTTCTTGCCAAGTGGACACTAGGTGAATGAAATAAGAAAGTTAATGCTTACAAAGGAGGAATACTATCTAAAATAACTCCAGTGTGTCTGTGTGCTTGAAAACCGACTTACCATTTCCTAAAAATACTTCAATGTTAACAGGAAAAATATGGAGTCAAATGACATTTTCAGGTGTCAACAGTGGAAGACCAATATCCCAACAACTCAGAATTTTGAAAGTAACATTAAAAATTTGCATAATAATGAAACTGGGCTATATTGATTACCACAGTAATAGTTTCTAGCCCTTGCTATAAAAGTAGAGAGTTACATTATGATACTTGCTTGAAAAGACTGCAGGAAAGCAATTTACAGTGTTTCTCCATTTTTATAAAAATTTCCCATTTACAAACAAATAAGGCAATTAGTGGAAACACTAATAAGGTTGCACTCTAAAAAGCATCAGTGTTTACCTCAGACAACATAATGCATTTTCTAATATAAAACACAACTGAATAGATTTTCTATTGAAAACAGAGGTGAAAAAGATGTATCAAAAATGGAGACATGTCTAATAGTAAAGGTAAAGATTCTGTACTAAAAGAAATCATTAAAAGATTATTTGTGGATGATCACAACTTATTGTACTGAGTATACCCTTTAGTATTTAAAAATCACATTAAATGTAAAATGTCTCAATTCCACTTTTAAGACACAATTTTTAAAAAGGGGTCAGCTATAAAATCATTCCTTGTAACCACTGGGAGATAATTCTGTAAAAAACTGCTACTAATGCTAAGAAGGCCTGTTGCTCCAAAGCCCCTCTCTATAATTCCAAAAACCTTCAAATTTATTATTTATCACACTCATGTTCTATGAGTTAACCTATTACTCTCTGAACTGCAAAATCTGTAGAATCCAAGAAGACGGAATGTTTTCCAATGATAAAAAGTAAAATATTTTCATTATTTCAATGGAAATAATTCCGCTGTATTTTAAATATTTCCTAACATCAGACAGAGGAACACAGAAAAAATCTGAAAAAAATGCTCACTATCACCCTCTAAATCTATTTCTAAGAACCTGTTACTCCAAGTGAAAAAGATGAGTTCATTTTTTATTCAGTGAATTGGGTAGCTTATTTAGACATGCTCCATATCTAAGTTTCTGTCCTTTCAACCGGCATAAGATTTTTACCTTAGTAATCAGTTGAAGTTAGAGATGGAAAAGACACAGTTCCCATTTTTGACAATCTTTTTTTTTTAAACCAAAAAAACAGCTTTACTGATATAAAATTTTCTTGATATTTAATTTACAATACCAAAATACTCATTTAAAATGTACAATTCAATGGTCTTTATTATATTTAGAGTTGTGGAAGTATGACTATAACCTAATTTTGGAATATTTTCATTACCCCAAAAAGAAAATTTGTTAGCACTAGCATCACTCCCCACTCTCTCTGTTCAGCCCCAGGGAACCACTCATCTACTTCCTTCCTTCATAGATTTTTAAGGTGTTTGTGGTTTATGGCTATGCATTTCCCACTTCCCAATCTAAAATATGCTAAGTTCTCTAAAATTTGACCATAAAATAAGAGAGATCTTCAAATAAAATGTCTTAATGCTAATTTTATACTACATTAACATTTTTAATCTGTTGACTCATACGCTTGCAAACATCAGTATTTTATATCATTAGCTCTGTTTTTTATTAGGTTAATTTAAAAACCATTTGTAATTTTCTTTCTCATCTCTGATACATGTTAATATAAGTCTTTTCATCTTTTTTCTTCCATAGAGCTCAGCATTAGGGTCTTTCTGTACATGGCAATTTCTCAATAAATGTATGTTTGTGTAATGCTCAGTATAGGACAAAGAACCCATCAAATTCTGTTACACAGAAACAGTTATGGATGAGATGCAGTGGAAGGCAAAGGATGCATGAAAATGAGATGCAAACGTCACCTATTACCAACATTTTGAAGGAGATAATAACTTGAAGATATCAAGTTTAATAATACTAAATAGCTCATTTGGTTTGGGAACTGCATAATGCTCTTATGCAGATATGGTGTGAAACCACTTATCAATGGAAGATAACACATGACACAAAACACTGAATTCAACAAATTCTTAGTATGTTGGTGCGTAAGCCCTAACACCACAAATACCTCCTTCTATTAAGAATTTCCCTGATTTTGGTTGGGGGAATTCTGAGTGAGAAAAATCAACTCTAAACAGAAGGATGGTATCTTATGATTTCTTGAAATTGCCCATAAATGTGTTCTACAAGGTTCTGATCACTAGCTTACAGCACTATTTTACTGAAAAAAACTTTCTAGGAACTGATGCTGATGGGAACGACTGTGACTATTACTATGAACGTTGATATCATTCATGATGCAAAGTGGTTAGAAAGTGAAAGACACTGTGGTACAACTGGTCTCCAACTGACACACGGATCTGTTTTAAAAGTTCACTTCTAACTCAGTTGTAAGGATAGTGGAATATGTCTCCTCACAGATATATCAGAAATGGTATTAGAGTTTTCAAGTTGTCTTTAACAACCCATTTAGTCCATGTTCTAGAAAACAAGAAAAGAAAAAGAAGAAAGAAAGAATACAAGAACAAGAAAAAATAATATTGTGAAATCTTTTTCTTTAAAAAATGAATTATCTGAGCACACAGAACACTCAGGACAAACAATAAATATAATTTTTATCATTATAATATTTGCAATTAAAAATGATAAAGAGAAAATTAGCATTTTTTTCTCCTGGAGCATGAATATCAATGACTGCAAAAAAGCAGATTGAATTCGAAGAAACATATTCATTAATTAATTCAATAAAATATTCATGAACACTTTCTTTTATCAAACTTTATTAAAAGCTTGTAATCTACATTAGGCACTGGGAATATACAATTTCCTCCTGGAGGATCTAACAGTCTACTGAGGAAGATTAGGCAAGGAAAGAACTTACTGTAGTATGCTAAATAATATGAAAGGCCACACTGAGGAATGAAAACTAATTCTAACTAATGTGGTGAAGAAGCAGAGAAACAGCATCCTGGGTAGAGGAAAAAGCATAAGTGAGGCATGCCTGCTGGAGAACACTGTAAGCAGCATGGTGTGGATGGATAAAACAAACAGCCCATGATAAGGGTGAACCTAGAGATCTAGGCAGGGATATATGATGAAGGCTCTATATGACAAACTGAGTTTGAATTTCATCCCTAAGTTGGCTAGGCATGACATGAACAGACATGCACTTGAGAGAGTCCTCTGTTAGCACCGTGGACAATGACTTGGAGGAGGAAGATTTGAGCCAATTAGAAGGTTAAGGTCACAATGTAGGCCAGAGGTTTCCAAAATTAGTTATGTGCAAAATAATCCACCAAAGCATGGGACATTTTATTTATATTTATTTTAGTATTATGTATCTTTAGGTTTTATTTTTTAGTGGAGGTTTTATGATATAATGTATATAATATACTATTCATATGATAGTTTGTGAATATCATCTATAAATAAATACATACATATCAACATTGGTAAGTGTATGCTAAATTTTTTTTCCCAATAGGGATTCACATCAAGAAGTTTGGAGACCACTGGTCTAGGCCAGTTTTGTTCAACAGAACGTAATGCAAGCCACGCATGTAATTTAAATTTTCTAGTAGCCACATTAAAAATTGTACAAAGCCCTTCCATCTCACGTGATATCAAAAAGTTAACTCAAAGTGGATCAAAAACTTAAATATAAGAGCTAAAATGATGAATTCTTAGAATAAAACACAAAAGTAACACTTCATGAACTTGGATTTGGAAATGGCACCAAAAGCATAAACAACAACAACAAAAATTAGATAAACTTGTCTGCATCAAAATTTTGTACTTCAAAAGACACTATCAGGAAAGTGACAAGAGAACCCAAAGAAAAGGAGAGGAAGTTTCAAAATACATATCTGGTAAGGTACTCTTTATAAGAATATAAAGAACTCATACAACCGAATAACAAGACAATCCAATTAGAGTATTTACAACAGTGCTTTGTCTGTCAAAAGTTCTAAATGACTGCATACACACATTTTTGCACTTCTTATATGGTGGTTTCCTTAGAAAATGTAATGACTCGGTCAAAACACATGTGCATTATAAATTTTCAGATATTCCTCTGGAAAGGTTGTACAAATTTAATTTTTATGAACTACAATAAAAGTTCTCCAGGGATAGAAATTTTTAAAAATTTTGTTCTCTACTGCATTCTGAGTGCCCGGAAAAATACCTGATGTGATAATAACCTGTTCTGTAATGAACTGTTGAATGAATGAGCTTTTACACAAGACCTCCTGCTTCTTTATATCCTAGCCAACACGGGGCAGTATCAACCTTTAAAAGTTTTGCTAACCTTATATATAAACAATAGAAGCGCATTTTTAAATTAAATTTGTGAGGTTAAACATCTTACATGTTTGTCAGACATTTGTATTTCTTATTTAATGAATTGACATTTATATCTTTTCCCTACCCACTTCAGATCTTACCTACAAGATTAACTCTATTCTACGTCTACTTTATGTAGGTCTTCTATAATCTCAACTGAACCAACCTTATTTTTCCTTAATATCTACTCTGCTTAATGTTCCCCCAATATGTTCTGCATATTCCTTCTACTGCACCTCCGTTGGTCCTCCAGTCTGGAGAAGATGGGTTATTCCACTGATTGGCAGCCTAGCTTTTTCTGGAAGGCTCCCTTCAAGTGCCACTTCCTCCACTTCTGACCACGCCAACTTTCACTGATCTCTATTCCTCTGACTGACATAGTCCAGCACACAATACAGCACTAAATTGTATGTTTTTGGTAATTTCTTGATAGTCTTTCATGTGTGTTCATTTTCTCTCCTCCAACAGATATAACTTAAACGAAGACAGGAGTCTTATACTCTGTGGTGTGCGCTGAACACAGTGGGCACTTAAAAAAATCCTTCCTGATTGATTTTGTTTTAAATGAATTTTGCCTAAAGCCAGAATTTTGCTCAAATAGCCAGAAACCATACTCAAGGTTTCAGAGTCTCAGTATTAAAGCACAACTAACGCTCAACATCTAAGCACTGAACTAGTTAATAAGAAAGGGTATAAAGTTAATAAGGGAAGACAGCAAATGTCACAGGTTCCAATTCTCCTCTTCCATATTCCAATCTCGTAAATCTTTAAATGTGGTATATGGTTGTGGTAAGTTGGTGTTACGGGTGGATTCTGTTTAGAAATCTGGGATATTAGAAGTCAGAAGAAAGGAGGGGAGTTTAGTTTAATTGAAATTCAAGGCAGGGAAAAGGAAGAATTTATTGCTTAATTCTAGCTGAGTTTATGTCTCCTTAACTACAATACATATACAATAAAAACAAGTCTTCATAATGAGTAGCCATGGATACAATCAGGGAAAACGACTTCTGCTAAAGTGCGGTTGGCTAGTTGTTTAGTTGGTTCATTTCTTTCTCTCTCTTTTTCTTTCCCTTTCTTTCCTTCCTTTCCCTCCCTCCCTCCCTCCTTCCTTCCTTCCTTCCCCTCTCTCTCTCCCCCTCCCCCTTCCTTCCTTCCTTCCTTTCCTGCCTGCCTTCTTTCCTTCCTTCTCTCTCTCTCTCTCCCTCCTCTCTCTCTCTCTCCCTTTCATACTGTCTCCTCAAGAAAGCGCTGCTTTTACAGGCTATCTGCTGAGACACTAAAGTAGGCACAGCATACAACTCTTCTTTGTAATTATATTAAATGCCATGTGATTTTTACCTGAATCAAGATCAAGTCTGACATCAACTAGAAACTAATACCACAGGAGTAGTTTTGTATTTAAATTTTAAACTAAAATTTCACCTATTACTGGTAAAATTATTTCCCCAAATTACCTCTTAGCTCTCTCAATACCTCTTGACTCCAAATAAGTTATTCTCTTGCATCTGTCAATGGCAGTCAGTACTTCTGAATATCACATACAATTTCATGATAGCATCGTCCCGCCAATGTGAATATGGCCAACTTCCATTTATATCTGAGATGTTTTTAGCACAATGGATGACTGATTGATGCTCTGTCCTGAGTCCTTCAATATTGGTATGGTTCTCTCAGTATTGCCAAAACTCTAAATAAATAAGTGTATGTACTTAGCTAATTAGTTACTTGGTCTGAAATAACATTTGGCTTTCTGATCTTTTTCAGTTTTACCAGGTCAGAGTTCTGTCTCTATTAGCATGGCATGGAAAATGGGTTCAAAATAAGGGCACATGGGCCAGAATGATTTCAGCTTCAGAAAGCATCAGGTTGGTCGCTGCACTGCCTGCTTTCTTGGTTGTTACTGAGGACTAAACAGTGGTGTCATTCTGATTGTCTATAGTTATATGAGCCTTTTTCTAGTTTTTCTATAGGTTTTCACTTTCAAGTTGATCATGAATAGATTAGTAGTAACTTTTCAAAGGATGATTCCTAAAACCAACCCAAACGAAATAAGCATAACTCTCCCTAAGGACAAAGATGAGAACACATATATGTGTCAATAAAGGAGAGAAAAACGGAATTTCATTATGAGCAAAAGTTTGTTAGAGGCAATAAAAGCTTCCGTTGCTTTAAATTTTCCTTTATTATAAAGCTTAGTCTACTGTGAAAGTTTCAACTTACAGCTCTTTGTAAAACTAGACAGAAACTAAAACAAAAGGTCAATAGTATGCAGTAAATCTTGCAATTTGTAAGGTTTAAAAACCTTCAGAAAAGTCTCCATGTTCAGATCTGCCAAAACAAACCGAGGAGCACACACTGAGACCACGTCAGTGCCTGGGTGTTACCCATTTACTGTTACAAGTTAAAGAGCATCACCAAAACATGTAACTGGAAAATCCTGTTTGCTATTTTCAAAACAATCATGACCGAAACAAAAACATTACTTCAGATTTTCAAGTTTAGTCAAGTCAAGAAGAGTCTATTTTATTTTAATCTACTTTAATTGTATAAACCGTTTTAACTTTCTACAACTTTGTACACCAGGAAGTTTAATAGAATATGTAGTGATTGTTCATATCTCTATTGAAAATTCAAAATGTGAGTAATCTTATTTATTAATTACAATGTGTTTAAGATACACTGGGAGATATTTTTCAAACTAGGTTTGAAATATTGATTTTGCTTCTTTATAGGAAACTGGCATTATAATCCACATCTTAAGAAACTGATTAATATCAAAGAAAGTGAATTTCAAAACTTTGTGTCCAAGGGCTGTCTCTACTAATTATTTCAAGAGTTTTTATTGAAGTTCTAAAACAAAACTTTGTTTTTCAATACTTTTATTTTTATTATTTTATTATTTTAATGGAGGTACTAGGGAATGAAACCAGGACCTCGTGCATGCTAAGCATGTGCTCTACCATTGAATATATTTTCCTACCCTCAAAACAAAATTGTTTTTAATGAAAACTCAAATTGTACCTTGTTAACATTTTACGAACACTGGCTTTACCTCTAAAATCAACTGTGCAATCAATCTACTTTAAGAAACATCAATTGATGTAATAAACTAATATTTACTGAACACCTACTCTATGCCAGGCACTGTGTGCTGAACTCTGAATCTATTTTTTCATTTTAGTTTCATAATATGCCTTGGGGAGCCACAGGCAGCTAAGGAAAATTTTCAGTGGCTACCTAATTTATTAACAGCCATATGTCACTCAAAAATTGAAGGTCTAAAACTGAAAGTTTTGGATAACCATAAACATTATCTTTTTGAAGAATATTCAATGACATAAGAAAATGTTCAGGGTGAAATTTTTAATTTCAAATGTGAAGAATTAAATATAGATTCTCTCTCGAAGGTTATACTGCTTTCATGGAGATCTTCTGTGCCATTGGTCAATTTTGTGCATACAGTAGGCGCTCAAAAGTTTTTGAATGAATGGGCGAAGGAATGCTTGTCCTCTTTGGATATCTAGACTTACTTTCTCTTCACTCAGTTTAGGTGACCTGAGAAGCACTTCCTCAAAATAACCCTCTGGTTCATCATGAGAAGAATGCCTGGCACCAGCTGGTAGGAGATATTAATAGCGTGCCCATTAGGCACTTGTTCAAGGCACACAGATAGCTCAGTGATAAAATCTTTAGAAATATTTGGACAGTTAAGATTATTCAGAATATGAATCAGTTGTGGGTCCTTAAATCTTCACTCTAAATATTAAGAAGTTAACATCTGTTTTGGAAATTCTGAAAAAAAAAATTGTAAGGTGGCAGCAATAATTGTTTTAAATTTTAGAGGAACGCAGCTTTGGGGAATAAGGAAAGAAAGCTTACAACAGAAAAAATTTTTTTTTCTTGTGATAAAGATTCTTTTGAAGAAATCAGATGCTAAAATGGAAAACAGAATGGATTTTTTCCTTCAAATTTCAATTTTTAGTATTTTACTGATCATTTGCCACTGATAAAGAAGTCGCTTGCCCACCAAACTACATTTCTGTTCCTCCTTTGGCAAGATAATGCTCAAAAACAGAGATACGCTGAAAATGACAAAACATCACCCTTAGTGACCTTCGGAGGGATTCAGGGGAGAATGAGAATGGAAATGGAATGGGACTATAACTGGTTTTCAAATAATACATAATTTAGAATTACTTGCATCTTCACTAAACAGAATTAACCATTCCAGCTACAAATTGATACTTGGTAGTCATCTATCCCTGACCTAATTTCCCCCCCAGATATTTAGTATAACCAGTAAGAAACAGAAATTCTAAGCATCCTTTTGTTACTTCTCATAAAATATCTCTATATCTTACACCACTTTAGATAGCCAGAGACGTGTTATTCTCTCAGCCATTACTTCCAAGTTTCTACAGAAGTATTAGAATTAAGATACAGTATTTTTCTTAGTGTTTAATGCCTCTAAATGTTTAAATCAACTCATATAAAAGATAAACAAGCAGCTTATCAGATACTCAGATGAAGAGACAATTCTACTAGGTATCTTACACCATCCTAGGTAGAGACCATGGAGAACAAACAAGAATAAGATCTCATTCCTCACCTTGAGGAACTTCCCATCTAGCTGGGGAAACAATATGGAAGGCAAGAGCTAATGAGATAAGACCAATGTTCTACTGGGTGGCATGTGGAAAATAGATGTTTATAGGCAGAGAGACATACCACTCTCATTCTGAGCAGAGAGGCAAGTAAGGCTGGAGAGGTAGGGCCCAATGTAAGGGCTTAGAAGTCTGACAAAACATTTGGATTTTTATGGTAGCAAACGGAGCTGTTTTTGCAAAGCAGACTGAATTTAGGTGGGAGAAAGGAGTTAGGAGTTACATCAACTAGAAAAACCAAATAACATAGGTACAACTTTCTCTTAGTATACTCTAAATAGGAGCTTACAAAATAACTAGTGGATCTTCTAAAAATTTTCTTGGTCTTCACAGACTTTTTATACTTTCAATCATATCTATATGTTCTCTCTCTCTCTCCCAATCTCTCTCTTTCAAGTATATGCCATGGAAGGTAGGCAGGTGAATAAAAAAAACAAAAGAAAAAAAAAAAAAAGGAAGCATAATTCATTAAATCTAACCTGAAAATGGTTGGTACAAAAACATCTCTAACTCACTTGAAATTGAGGTGAAAATAAATTTAAAATGGTGTCATTATCACTGAATCCAATTCTAGGAAAATTCTAATATACACTTACATTCTTCTGAACATTAAACTCACTTAAAAATACATGAAATGCAAGATTATTACTTACTGTGTTTTATTTTGTGAGCAATTTAATATTTATGCAGACTAAGAATAAAGTAACTTTTTGTCACTCTGCTCAGTATGTTGTCAAAAAGCATAATGTAATTACATTGAGCTTGAATAGATAAGTAAAACAAATATATATTGATTTTACCTTTGTTTTAGTCGTCTTCTGGCTGTTGTGGGAACATTAGCACCATAGCCATAGGAAAAAAGAACCCTTTCAGCCTCATCTTCATTTTCAACTGGAAAACATTAAAGTGTACGATGTGAAATATGTTTCTTCTTAAAAAGCACGGCAGAAGTGAAAATAAAAGAGGTCATAAGAATGAATTAGGGAGCATAAGAATACAAAAAAGTCTAATGCATAATCTCAAACAGGCCACTTGTAAGTACCAACATATTTCTTAAAGAATATGCTTACTTGGATTTGTTCCATTTATTTTTAAAAGGTGTAAGGAATTGCACCCTATGACATGTTAATTTCTTGTTATAAGGCATAATAATACAGATGTGTTATTCTGAAGATTCAAAGGCTTTTTGCATGAAATGTATGTTCTGTAATTATGAAAAAATTATGATAACATCAATTTCATTACTTCCCTTCTTGATAAAAGAAATGACTATTTTTATTTAGGAAAGACGTTCATTATTTTATCAGAATAACACCTTTACCCCAACTTGCAATAATAAAATCCTGCACTGAAGTAGGCTATGCTGTAAAGAAAATGTACAGTCCGAAGAAAGTATTGATGGCCTTTTAAAAAAATTACAAAAAATTCAGCAACACCATTCACTTCTAAATTTTGCTTTTTTGCATTCCCCAAAAGAAATTTTAACTGACAGGTTAACATCTGGATAAAAGTTTAAATGCAATGTCAATTTTACTGTAAGTTGGGAATAAAAAATATTTAATCACAGGCAGTAAAAACTAAAGGTTTACTAGCTCAGTTTAAAGCAGTGACATAAAACAATTTTTATAACGTTATTCATCAGTAACCATTATTTTAATGCCACAAAGAGAAACCTACTTTCAGAAGTGCTTCAGGTTTAAAACAAAGCCACACATTTTACATTTCTAGGTGAAGCTAACTATTTGAAGGCCTATCACTGTATCATTGTCCAATCCTTCTGCAGTACAGGAAACATTTTAGAAATATTCGTTAAGTGTTTTCCTTCAATTTTGACCCTGTTTTTTACAATGAATCAAGAGAGGTAGGATTATCAATTATGAGGGATATGTGGAAGCAAGAGATGCTATATACCATTGCCAATAGTGTTACCAGTTATCATGGCTCCAATCCAAGTTGAGTTTTCCAGTTCAGCTCTATCAGAACTAAGAGATGGCAGTTAGACACCTATCTGACTCTCATCTCTCTCAGATAGTTCCAAGTTCAGAGGAGAGAGGGGTAAATTTAGTTCACATCTCAATAACCCATCAGATATTGGTGAGCAACTTAAATTTGAGTTTAATACTGGATTAATAACTCATGGGTAAACTATTCTAGTGGTGATTTAATTATGGAAACAATACATTATACAACATGGTAAAAGGTACTAAAGAGATAGGAACGTGTTTTAGAAGACAGAGCAACTCTATCTGAGTACCACGATTTTTCCCATGCTAGAGGCATTAGGCAGGTTTCGGGGAGACTGAAATTCATAGACAAGGTGCAGGAAAGAACTGCAGTGTGTAAAGGAACAGAGCTGTGAAGTTTCAGTAATTATGAGAAAAATGGCTAAAGTTAGTCTGGAGAATAATGGTAGTAAAAAGGCCGGCTGTGGGGAGTGCATAGCTCAGTGGTAAGAGCATGTGTTTAGCATGCATGAGATCCTGGGTTCAATCCCCAGTGCCTCCATTAAACAAACAAACAAACCTAATTACCCCACCAAATAAAAAAATAAATAAAACAGTTGATTAAAAAAAAATCTTCCTGAAAAATTTTTTTTAAAAAAGGCCAGCTAAATTCCAACTATGAACAGGACTAAAGTCCTGTTTGCTAGGCTAAGGAGTTGGAATTTTATTCTATAGTCAACACGACGTCAAGAGAGATGAATACAGGTAGGTGACACGAACAATAGGTTTTGTTGTTGATGCTGGTATTACAGGAAAACAATTCCAGTATTGGGAAAAGGATGGCCTAGATTGGTAGCACAGAGAATTCCTTACAGGTTATAGTAAGAATCCAATTGAGACATGGTCTATAACAACAATGGAGGATGGGGAAAAGAACTTGGATTCTAGACAAGTGAACAGGTGTGGAGGTGAGACGAGGCACTAGATAGGATGAAGGTTGACAAAAGCTAATTGGGTAATTAGACAGACTTTAACCTTACTAACAGAATTCAAGAAAATTACTAAGTTTTAGGGAAGGAAGAGAAAATGTAAACAATGTTACATGTTCAGTGACTACAGGAACTCCACACAGACCTGTGGAATCACTAGCCTATGGACAGTAACTGGAATTGAGGAAGCAGATAAGCTTATCCAGAAAGTAGGTAAGTAAGAATTGAAGAGGACAGGGAGAAAAAATCCCCTGGGAACCAGAAAGCATTAGATAAAAGAAGACACAACAAAAGCAATGGAGAAGAAACACTCAAAGGCAGGTGATTTAAGAAGGAAGGGAAGAGTTTTGAGACATGTGAGAAATCCTAGCAGAGGTTACTAGGAGGGTAAGGATGGATACCAGCTCTCTGAATTTGACAATTAGAAATCTGATTTTCTTTTTGTATTTAAATTTATTTAGCTTCTAGACCATACCTCTGAAAACTAAACTCAGATATACAAATAATATACTTATTTGATTAGAAAAAGCAATTTGAGAGTAAACAGGATACTGTAATTTGCCATGGCTACAACTTAATAAATGAAGTCTAACCATATTCATGTCTGCTGAAATTAGCTGAATTAGATGATAATCCTTTGAATATTGTGCGCACTATGTACTGAAAAAGAATGTTTAGTACCTACATCTTTAAAATTTCATTTAATCAGTAACTGTTTTGCTGCCTTTATTAAAAATCAAGTATTCATTAGACAAGGATAGGAATATTCCAATTTCCAATGTGAGTGGACAGAAAAGAACCTAGTTTCTTGATCTTTCAAGTACAAGTAAATATATTCTCCTCTAAGATATTTTTGAGATGGTTTATACAATATCATAGCAAAAATTAATTTCTATATTTTTTCTAAAGATTTTAAGAAAATATTTACACATCTGGAAAACTTGAAAGAACTGTACACTGATATACTCAACATCTGGATTCTAAATTAAACGTTGTACCATATTTATTTAAATACATCTATCCATTCCTATATCCGCTCAGAAACCTTTTTTATGCATTTCAAAATAAGTTATAGACATCTGCCTTCAAACAGTTTAACATGTAAATCATCAACTATAGTTCAATATTATTGATAGTTCTTTTTTTAAAAATAAAATTTGCATATAGTGAAAGGTACAAATCTTGAATCTATCACTCATTGTATTTTGAAAAATATACACAGTTGATCCTTGAAAAACATGGGTTTGAACTGCATGAGTCTACTTACACATGAATATTTTTCAATAAATACACTGCAAATTCTTTTTTGAGATCTGTAACAATACGAAAAGCCTTGCAGATAAATCATGTAGCCTTGAAATATCGAGAAAATTAAGAAAAAGGTATATCATGAATGCATAAAATATATACAGATGCTAGTCTGTCCTTATATAGGCATAAAGTGAGTAATATTTAATACAAAATTAATAATGTATTAGTTTACTGTTCTATAACTTGGCTTTCAAAGAATTACATTACCCTGTAAGTCTCTCTCTCTCATAACTCGAGAAGCTGTGTATCACCCTATCATCACAAGTAAGTGTTTTTTTGTTAATGTAACAATATTGCCAATACTATATTATGAATATGACTGTAATAATGTATGCCGTAACAATTTTATAATGATTCATTTATTAGTGTAGGGGCTGGGCTACCATGAAACAATCAGATAGATTACATTAGGCTACCAAGGAGCAACCATATTGATGCTTCTTTGTTATCCATGCATGAATTTTAATAACTAAATAAAATTATTAAAATTGCGAATTTCTTCTTCATATTATCTTTTCATTTCTAGTGTTAGCAATAAACATAACATCTACAGTGTTTTGTATTATATAAGACAATACTAATAGGTAATGACAGACAATTCATCTTGTAAACAGATGATATAAATTTACAGTATTGATAAATACAGCACAGTACTGCAAATATATTTTCTCATTCTTATGATTTTCTTAATAACATTTTCTATGCATCTTCAAATCGTCTATCCGACTTCTGCTTTCATCATCACATCACCTTCTTTCTTATAAGGACCCTTGAGATGGGCCCACCTGGGTAATATTACATCAAGACTTTGGTGAATATTTTCCCCAAGGCGTTTTCTTAATTTGGATACCATTCTTTTGTCAAATGTAAAATGGGATTACTTTCTCTTACTCTGTAGCTTGGCTCTTCATTTCTTAAAGATGGTTTTTAAAAGAGTAGAAGTTTTTAATTTTGATGAAGTCTACCTTGTAAATTTTTCTTTTACGGTAGTTGCTTTTAGGATCCTGTCTAGGAAACTTTAAGCTACCCTAGGTTGCACAAATACCTATGTTTTCCACTAACGGTTATAGTTTTAGCTATTGCTTGCAAGTCTCATCTCAAATTAATATTGGTGTATGGTATGAAATAAGGTTGAGGTTCATTTTCAAAAAGATGTCCAATTTTTTAGCACCATTTATTGAACAGACTTTCCTTTCTCTAGTTGAATGGTTTTGCTGCCTTTATTAAAAATCAAATAATCACACAAGTGTGGGTTTCTTTCTTAGTTCCTATTCTATTTTGTTATTGTATTTGTCTTTATGCCAGCAGTATACTAGCTTGATACTGTAGCTTTATATTATGTCTTGAAGTCAGACAGTGCAAGTCTTCCAACTTTGTTTTCTTATTTTTTTCAAAATTATTTTGCTTATTCTAGTGTGCATATGCTTTCTTTGCTTTTGGGCAAATAAACTGCTGGATCACTGGATAGGTTGTTTGGTATTATAAGAAAAGTGCCAGCTGTTCCACATTCTCACCAACATTCAGTATAGTATTCAGTCATTCTGATAGGTGTGCAGTGGTATTAATAAAAGCAGATCTTTTAATAGGTCCTTTGCATTTCCATATAAATGAAATACAAAAATGTTTAAAAAGGGCTTATGATTGGGACATTGAATTTACAGAATTCATGATATGTCTCTTGGCATTTTAGTGGGTCTTCTTTAATGTCTCTTAACAATAGTTTGTATTTTGTGTTGTTAAATTTATTCCTAAATATTTTGTGTTTTTTGATACTACTGTAAATGAAATTGCTTTTTTTTCCTGGATGAGACAAGCCATTATTGTTTTACTTTATCTTTACATAAATTGTTGACTTCATATACATATATATCTATTCATACTGAAATTGCTTTTTAAATTTTTTTCCAGTTATTTGCTTCTAGTATATTTTTGTGTAATTATTATTATAGTCCATTAAATTTACTTATCAGTGTTAGTGATTGTTTTGTAATCTGAAAATACAGTCTTCCTCTTCCTTTCTGACCTTTATACCTTTTTTTTTCTTTCTTTCTTGCCTTATTTTACTGCTAGGATACCAAATACAATGTTTAATACAAGTTATGAAAGTAGAAATCCTTGCCTGATTCTCTTCCTTAAAGGGAAATAATTTAATATTTCATTATTAAGTATGACATTGGCTGTAGGTTTCTGGAGATATCTTTTATGAGACTGAGGAAGTTCTCTTCTGCACCTGACTGTTTATTTAGACAGAGGGACATCTGCAAAATTATAGAGATAAGATAGAGTATGGAACTTTCAAAATAACATGATATGACAGGGAATTGCAAGGTATGAAAAGTAGAAAGATAAATGAGTCTAACCATAAAAAAAGACAAGCTAAGGAATCGGACTTTAGTCTATTTTAAGTTGATAAGGGCATTAAAGCAGGTGTATGATATGATGAAATCTGTATTTTATAAAGATTATTCAGACTCCACTGAAGAAACTGAAGATAAATTTGGAAACTATCGCACTTATCAGACACTGACCCTGGAAATTTTTTAAAAAAAGGGCAATGATAGGAATGAAATAAAAGTTTTTCTTACACTGGGCTATTGATACAATATAGTCATTATAAGAAAAGGTGCCTCAAACAGAGTCAACCTCAACTTCAGTTGAAGTTTAAACCCACTTTTATAAGAATGACATTTTATTTCTGACCTTTGAACAAAAATAATACACTGTAGCAAACATCACAGTCAACAGTGAAATGTTAATTTAAAATATTCCCTTGGCATCCAGAAGAACACAGGACGATGGCAAATAAGAAGAAAAAAAAAGAGGTAGAAATTAAATATCAAAGTCTATAACACAGTGTGTTCTATGAATTTCTATCTGGCCTTCAAGACTCATTCAAATGTCATCTTCCCTCTTAGGTATTCCTCACCTCCAACAAGAAAGTAACTCATGACCTCTTCTGTACTTCCACTAAGAACTGCCCATCACTTGCTAATAGTACTTTAATTATCTGTTAAAGGTTGTCTCTCCTAGTAGACTAGACTTGGAACAGCTATATGCACAATATTGAATGAACTCCATATCCCCAAATCCTGGCACAAGTACGTACGTAATCACTTCATAATTGTTGAATGAATGAACTAAATAAATGAAAAGATAAAATCTACTATTGTTAACCCTTTTTATTGGGATCCCAACTACTGGAATTAAGATGAACTAGATTTTATGATAAATGTTGGAGAGAGTGTGCAGAAAAGGGAATCCTCCTACACTGCTGATGGGAATGTAGTTTGGTGCAGCCTGTGGAAAATAGTATGGAGATTCCTCAAAAGACTAAAAATAGACTTACCATATGACCCAGTAATCCCACTCTTGGGCCTATATTCAGAAAGAACCCTAGTTCAAAAAGACACCAGCACCCCAAAGTTCATAGCAGCACTATTTACAATAGCCAAGATATGGAAACAACCTAAATGTCCATCGACAGATGACTGGATAAAGAAGTTGTGGTATATTTATACAATGGAGTACTATTCAGACATAAAAAAACAACATAATGCCATTTAGAGCAACATGGATGTACCTGGAGAATATCATTCGAAGTGAAATAAAAAAAAAAGAAAGAAGAAGAAGACAAATGAACTCAAATATAAAAACAGATACAGACTCACAGACATAGAATACAAACTTGTGATTGCCAGAGGGGAGGGGGGTGAGAAGGGACAGACTGGGAGTTCGAGATTTGCAGACACTGACAGGTATATATATAGAATAAACAAGTTTATACTGTATAGCACAGGGAATATATACAAGATCTTGTAGTAGCTCATAGTGAAAAAGAATATGAAAATGAATATATGTACATTCATGTATGACTGAAAAATTGTGCTGTATACCAGAAATTGACACAACATTGTAAACTGACTATAATTCAACAAAATTAAAAAAAAGATGAATTAATTTTTAAAATATAAAATATTCTTTCAAATAAAAGGCACGAATTATATTTTAAGGAAATATACCAAAGCAGTTTTAGAAACAGTATCAGGTTCCTTGTGCTACCAGAAAAAACACGGTGTGTGTGGGGAGGTCAGAGACTTACTTTCTGCAGTTTGCATTATTATTTCATCAAGCTCTTTTTCCAGTTTCTCATAAACGTCTAGCCTTGCCTGATGTTCAGAGTTCTGTGCTTGAAGTTCAGTAATGCGTTTTTCAGAAGAGGCTTGGAGACTATAAAATTCTTTAGTTAAAACCTAATAGTGAAAGAAAAAAAATTGCAATAGTAGAATTAAACACGTTAACAGTTACGACAAAAACATGATACAAAAATATTTTTTCAATGATTTAGATATGAAGAGAAAGTAGCTCAATTAAAATGACTGAGGAGGTAAAAAAATTTATTTCTGAGGAAAATAATTTGTTTTTAACTGAAAATTAGGAAGCACTTTATTACATAAATTGAAAAAAAAAGAAAACTTAAAGGCTTACAAAGCTTGTAAAAATTATATATTTGTAATATGTCCTTCACTTTTCAACCAGAGCTTATTTCATTTACCCTAATCATGGTTTTAGTAAGATTTTTGGCTTGCTGAATGACTGTTCAAAATTCAAAGAAGCAAATCAAAATGTAAAGTTCTATATGGGGCAGTATCAGAAAATGCCTTTGTATAGAAAGAAAGAATTAAAAAGTTATTAAAAAGAGATTAAAAAGGTATGGAAATTGAAGTTATTCTGTGTAAGAACAAAAAAGCTTATATTTTCTTACAGTAACTCATTGAAGGCATCACGATGCTGACAATAATGAATTCACTAAAAAAAGGAGGCATTTCTAGTGACAAAGAAATGTTTTAATGCTTAAATTAAATTCCAATTATCTAGAAAGTTTACTTACTAGTACAGACTAAATTATGGGGTGGTATTACACTTACCTCCTAACACGTGAGTAATGCAGCATTTCCTGAGAAGCAATAGAATATTATGGTAAGAATGTGGTTTGGAGCCAGAAAGATTTGGATTTCCTGGCTTTGACACTTACTTGTGATCGTAGGTAATTATTCTTTCTAGGCCTATCTCAGAATATTGTTGGAATGATTAAATAAGCGGATAAATTCACAGTGCTTAGCAGAGCGCCTAGAACATGGTGAGTGTTGGAAAATAGTATTACTACTGTGGGAAATAAAATTATGAGAACTTTGTATTAAATGGCTAATAGAAATGAGATACACTGATTTACTTATCCTGAATTCTCTATTATTAAACAGTTCTGAAGAAAACTTACTTTTTCTAATGACACGAAGTTTACCTTAACAGATGTATGTGACTGTGTGCTTCCTGTGATATGGAGAAGGAAGATGTGGACGATCTATTACAAGTTCTAACTGGCAAAGATTTCAATTTACTTTTCTTTAATCTATTCCATCTCATTTTCTTCAGTTATTTCCACCCCCTCCACCAATAAATTAAACATAATCCCCCAACCTTCCAAAGACATTCCTTTGAGGGTGAAGAAAGAATAATATAGGAATAATATTTACAGGATGATTTCTGGTGTCCCTGATTGGGTCAGAAAAGGAACAATTATGTTTTAGCATTATTTATTCTTGATGGCTGGGAATGTGTTTTCTAGAGACTTAATTTATTATAATGAAATTACTGCACACTGAACCAATTTGGGGCTTTCATAGAGTTCATTATATTGGGATGTAATTCATTAAGAATCTGGTGGCCAATGACACTTATTAATTCCATTGTCAGAAGAGGAGTATGGATAGAGTTAAATAGTAATTCCTGCAGCACAGTTGATACCGTCCATCTGTAACTCACTTTCCCCAACAAAAATACCACAAACAGAAAAACCATGGAAATGGATATCTGAAGATATAAAGAATCAAAATGTTAACGATGAAGTATTTCATAAAATACTACTTTAAGAAGCGATTTAAAGGTAATATTAAATTGAGAGATACAATTTTAAATTCTTGTTTAGAACACAGAGAAGAGATCACCAGAAACTTCTGATTTGGGGTATCTTCCAACACCTCGGTACCCCTTGGTGGCGAATTCTCTTTGACTCTGGATTTGTCTAAGTGGCTGCTGTGAATAACTTTATTACGGTTTCGGAAAAGCCTTAGAAGAACTTGATTACTGGGATCTATAGAAGGCTACTATATTAAAGGCTCTTTAGGAAAAACCAGTATATGAAGATTTAAGTTTAAACGTGAATGTATAAAATAGGTCAGCTGCTTTTAATAATCCATTAAACAACAAGCTTTCACAGTGGATATTTCTTTCCTTTAAATAACAGAATGATAATACAAAATTACCTGAAATTATACAAATAACATATATATAAAAGGAATGATCATACCAAACTATAGGTCAAAAATTGCTTTAAAAAGAGAAAAATAAAAAGCCAGTGTTTTGGAAGCTTTTGGAAATGGATAATTAAGAAAACATAAACTGTCCCTAAGCTATAAATCAATGAGAATATGAGATAAAAGCCATAGAAAAGTATATAATTTTAACAATCATTATCCTTCACAAAATTATTTCTCTCTAAATTCGTTATAAATAATGATTGTCTAAGATACTTTCCATTCCTTCAGAAAAATGGATTCAAACAATGGTACTATATTAACATTCATCAAACCATTCATTCATTCATTCTATAGTTACCAAGCACCCACCATGAGTGAGGCACTGTGAGAGGCACTGGTGATACAGTAACAAATGAATAGTCCCTGTCCTCTCAAGAATCCTAGGTTAACAGAGGAGGAAATGCAAAGAAATTCCCGAAAGCCTCAGTTTTATCAACCAGAGTTTTTAGAATCGTAACAGTTTTTACAAGAATGTTTCTCCATATAAGACCTTTACACAAGGGAACATAATAATTACTAGTCATTTACACCCACAGACCAAGTGGGTGGGTCTATGGGAGAGTGGTTTTTATACTGCAAGTTACAACCTTTAGGAGGACATGAAATCAATTTAGATCGCAACCAACTCAAATAACACAATAGAATAGTTTAGAAAACATCAGTACTGTATGTTGGAAAGTATTGGTTAGTGACAGGTTTGTTTCAGAAGCACAGAGAGAGGGGAAGTGCTTCTCTACCTTCCTAAATAGAACCCTCCCACTCCTGACCCAAAACACATCCTTAAGTACAGCCATCCAACGTGATAAGAAAAATAAATTGCTAGGAACTACAAAATTTAAATCATGAGGGTGGGTATGCTCAGTGGTACAGCATATGCTTAGCAAGCACGAGGTCCTGTGTTCAATCCCTAGTATCTCCACTAAAAATATAAAATTAAAAAAACTTTAAATCATGAAAAATTTGCAAAAGACAAAGACCAAATCAGAGCTAATTGAATCGAAAAATGTGTGGGAGAATTAGCTGTAGCAGATTATGATTGTAGCAGTTTCCCAAAGAAGGTATTGGAAAAAGTTTTAAATGCCGAACACTACGTTTGCTTAGAAGTAGGTACCATCTACAATTTTTACTTACGCTTCTTTAAATATGTATTATTTAATATTGTTTTTATGGTCTTCCCTAAGGCTTTATTTTCTGTGAGACTCTTTATATTGCTAATCTTAGTTTTATTTATCAGAGTACTTTTCAGAATTGTAATCTCTGAAAGGTAATTTTAATGAATACTTACATCACTAGATAATTAATCATATTAATGGTATTACTGTATCTTTCATTCAATGTTTTTAATAAGCATTTCCCCAATTCTAAAATATTCAAGAACATGATTGTATGTATGTAACCATACAATGCATAAATATAGCAAAATATGTGATTTTTAATATACTAATTGAGAATCGTTTAATTATTTATTGTTGGACATTTAAGATACTCCAGTTTTTAGTATAATAAATAATTCTGTGATGTATACAGTGAATATAAACTTTTATAAGCATTTCTTATTATTTCTTTAGGTAAAGTTCCTTTAATTAAAATTACTGGATCATTTTTAAGGACTTTAACACAGCTTAACATATCGTCCTCCAGAAGGGATGTTCCATTTTCTAACTGCATGAGATTTCTCACTTAAAGGTACTCTTGCTAGCACTTAAAAACAAACAAACCAACCTACAGCAATTTGCATTTCTTTTTTTAGAAATGGTCCATTCCTTCTTTCCACCTATTTATCTAAAAGACGAAGCTATGTCCTCTTGATAACAGATCTTAAAAAATTAAGGACACAGGCTCTTTCTCATCCATAATACAAATTGTGTTTATAAAGCTCAATGATACAGACATTGTGTTTACGGTGCTTACATTCTATGCTAATTTTAGAAGAAAACCTTATCTATGTACCTCCAGTTTTTTTTGGTATTTTTCACATTCCAACTGACACTGTGTGAGATTTCTTGCAGTTTCCTCTTGTAGAAGTTGAGCACGCTCACTTTCAAAAGATTTCAATTTACTTTGGTGGAGAAATTCTGCTACTTTGCTTTCTGTACTAAGTTGTAGTTCTCTGTACCTGAAAGAAGCAAAATTGTTATGAAACGCTAAATAGATCTTGATTTATATACACATAAACATTACTTCTACTTTTTCCACATCCTGATATTATTATGCAATTAATAACTTTTATTTATTCAGCAAAGATTTTGTAAATAATTTAGATAGGCATATATATGGAAATATGCTAAGTCCAGAGAACAGGATATACCAATTAAACTTCCTCTACTGCTCCCTTATTTTCATTCCTCCCATCCAAATAATTATTGCCTATCTATTATTATTATTATTTTGTAAGACACTTAAAATAAAAAATGGTAAGAGCAAGTGTCAGTTATATTGCTTAAAATGACTTAATTTCCATATATTTCACAGGTCTCCTTAAATCTATAGCCTTGCTTCCAAACTTGCTATTTCATTCGAAGTCTAAATAATGTCAGATGGAGCAGAATGGCATGAAATACGCACATTAAACTATAAATTCTTGAGATAGTTGTAAAATAAATTTTTAAGTTAGTAAATGCATAAATTCAAATATTACAAAAAACCAAAATGAACACATTACAAAGACAAATATGTAACTATAAGCAGTCTATTACAACACAGATAAGAAACATTCTCTTCATTCCATAGGTATAACCAGTAATAAAAACATTTCCATTTAACATATAAAACACCACATATTATAAATTTGAAAATGCTTCAAGCTGACTATGTTCTAACGGAAAACAAAACAAAGACACATTAAACTTTCTCCAGGAGCTATTAGGAGCCCAGTATAATGCTAGATATGTTATTAAAGTTCATTTTTTTCAAATATTTATTGAGCTAGTCACCATGCTGGGTAACTATGCATCCAATGGTAGACGAAATACGTCTTTTCTTCTCTTTAAAGAACTTAATTTTCTGGGGAAGACAGGAAAATAAACATGAAAAATTCAATAGAAGATGTTAAGTGCTTCAATAAGGTAATCCCTAGGTTTATGATGGGAACATACAGAAAGAAGACCTAACCCAGTTTGTATAGGTGTGTGTTGTCGTGTACGCAGCAGAAGGAGGTAGAAGGTGGGAAGTGATTTAAGGTGTAGAAACAAGAGGATGTTCAGGGCAGGGAGCAGAGAGCACAGACTCTTTTATTCATAGCATCTCATTTAATCCTTACAACAACTTTATTAAATATTTTGCAGATGAGGAACCAGAGGCTCAGAGATGTAAAATAATTTCTTTAACAGGAAGAAGCTGCTGGTAAATTTCAGGTGGGGTCTCAAATCCAGCTACATTTCACGCTTCAGTAATGATATTTCCACTATCACATAATATTCTTAACTGACATTTCTGAGGTCAGATAAACCTTCAAATGTGTCTTAAAGGTCATTTCACTCTTGTAAGTGACAATGACAAAGTATAATCAGAGAAGACAGGCATTAGATATTTGCTATAGGCTACGTCACTCTTGGTTTTCTTATCTTTGGTGAATGCATCTCACATTCAGAATGATGGAAGTTCCAGTCAATGCATATTGGAACATGTTATTTAATATATACCAATGCTTTAAGGTGAGTGTCAGCTTGTGTGTTTAACTTTTTGAAAGTCCAGGCATTAATTACATTTATATATGTTTTATATATGTATAAAACTTCTTTCATTTAAAAAATACCTTTTGGGAGTGGGAAAGGATAAATCTGGAGTTCAAAATTTGCACCTCTTGGGGAGTGATGGAAATATTAGCTATCTTGATTGTGATGGTGGTTTCATAGGTGTATATATATCTATCAAAATTCATCAAATTGCACATCTGAAATATGCGTAGTTTACTGTATAGGAATTATACCACAACAAACGTGTTAAAAAATTTAAAAAAACTTTTGAGGGGGTGAGTATTATAGCTCAGTGGTAGAGTGCATGCTTAGCATGCATGAGGTCCTGGGTTCAATCTCCAGTATCTCTATTAAGACCCTCAGTCATTTAGGGCCCTATTCATTCTCCTCTGATGTCTTTCTTGTTACTAAGATCAGTTATCTGTCCAGCAAAGGTTTCTTCTGATTCTCTCCTCTCTGCCTTAAAACCTCTTTATACCCTTTTGATATGAACAAGCAAACTAATAATTTTTGTTGAGACATAATACACAGTCCACAAAGTTTGCCCTTTCAAAGCATACAATTCACTTCTTATAGCTTGTAGTACTTTCACAAAGTTGTGCAACACTACTACCTAACAGCAAGACATTTCCATCATCCAAAAAAGAAACTCAGTATCCATGTAGCAGTCATTTCCTATTCCCTTATTTTTTCAGGCCCTGGCTACCACTAATCTACTTTTTGCCTCTATGGGTTTGCTCACTCTTGACATTTCATATAAACAGAATCATTATATGTGCTTTTTTTTTTTACATGTTTTTCAAGGTTCATCCTTGTTGGAGAATGAATCAGTACTTCATTCCTTTTTATGGCTGAATAATATTCCATTGTTTGGATATACTACATTTTGTTCATCCATTCATTCATCAGTTGATGGACACTTTGATTGTTTCCACTTTGTGGTTACTATGGAGACTGCTGCTGTGAACATTTGGGTAGAAGCTTTTGTGTAAATATGTTTTCATTCTCTTAGCCGTATACCTGGGAAAGAATAGCTAGGTCATATGGTCACTCTAGTTTTGGCTTTTTGAGGAACTGCCAAGCTGCTTTCCAATATGACTGCACTATCTGACAGTCCCACCAGCAATTATGAGGGGAAACTTCCTTACAACCTTATCAAAACGTATCATTGTCTCTTTGATTATAGCCCTCTTCATGAGTGTGAAGTAGTAAAAAATTATTTTACTCAAAAATCTATTAATTTAGTAATTTACTGACATGAAACTGTCCCTGTGTTCCCTAAGGTAAGTCATTTTATAAACATAAGTGTATAAAACATGTGTGAAACCTATACCTATTTTGTATGCTAAACTATGGGACACACTGGATCTCATTACTGAAATAAATTCTTCATAAGTCATTTGGAATGTGATATTTATCTTTAAAATAATTTGTTTTGAAAAGATTAAACTGCAATGTTTGCCTTTTTATGGATTCATGAATTACTGTGGGTAATTCTGAGCTCAATGCCAACTCCAAACAGGGAATTAAAGACTTAGCTTTCAGATTCCACCTGCTCTTCTTATTCATTATATGGCATTTGAAAGTTACTTTTAGCACTATTATTCTTCCCTTATATTAAAAAGTTAAGTAACAATAGTTACCTCCTAGAAATTTGAAGATGCTGAGTTTAATAAATTGACACTTGTATGAACCAAATGACAGTTCTAAAGGATTAATCTATTCTCATGTTGTTTAGACAGTAAAGGAAAATCTGCCTCAAATCATTATGCCTTCGTAATAATAGTTATTATTCAAATTTGTTAAGTTGAACTGTGAAAATGCTGAAGAAACAGAGCTGCAAACACAGTTCCTGAATGAGGAATAGACGATGACAAGAGCACAGCCTGACAGTTTCAAGTAACTTCCTCTTACTTGTTTTGCTAATATAACCTGTCACATTTTACTCTGTTGACTCAGACTTCTCATCTTATCCTCCTAATGTGAACATCTTATGTGAACTAAGTCAATATTATTCACATTAAACAAGTTTATGTTTGACATTCTTGTTCAGCATAGTAACCTTAAGAGGTTAAATTTCCTATAAAGTATAATCAGAATCTCTAACTACCCTCATCCCAGGCCCCTGATTTGACTAGATTAGATCTCATGCTAACTAGGGTTTTAATTTTCATAAGACTTACTCATAAATCACATACTACTTTAAAAATAGTAAGATAAAGTCCTAGAATGAACTGCTTGCAGTGAAGGAATATTCGTCACAACAGATTTTGGGGCTAGACTTCCAAGGAGAATTTCACCTGTTAAAAGGTGAAAATCAGTGATTAGCTAGGAAACTACAAAGACGCTAACCCGTAAGATATGCTCTCTGGCCACAGGGATTTCAACTCCAAGCAGCATGGCATGTTCTGCAATGCTGGAATAACCGCAGGAGAAACATCAACATGGAATTCTGTTCTCAGAAATGGGAGAATTCGTTTGAACAAAAGCACTAGAGAAAACACTAAATAACAACAGATTTTCATAACAACATTTACATCAGCAGTCTTTACATACATATTGTGGTGAGAGCTCTGGCATTATACTCTGATGTGTTAAGCCAAGCAATGTATGTTTATTCTCATCTCCATCAACAAGGTTGTCATTGAGTAAGAAAGTCAAAGACCTCTATTAGCCTTTTATTTATCTTAGTTTTTCATTCCAATGAGATTCAGCAACGGATCTTTGAAGTTCATCCACAAAATGCTCATGGCTCCCCCAATATTAAAACCGGATATTTATTCTGAATCCAATTATCTAACCTCATTTCATAGATAGACATTCTCAGGCAAAATACCCCAGAAGTATTGTATTGAGTGATAAGGTTCCTGTAATCATCCGGACTGAGAAATGCTCCTTCCATTAAGAACTTGTGAGAGCTGGTTCAGTTTAGACGTAAGGCAGCGAGGCAGTGGACGCAAGGCCTCTGTGTGCAGGAGGACAACTATCCGTAGATAAAGAGCACCAAAAGTAAAACCCCCACAAGGAAGACCGGTAAAAGAAGCTAAGGAAAGTAACAGGATTTCCAGTTACTGGCGAAGGTTCAGGGAAGGATTTTTAGTAATTAGGCATCAGGTAGATTAATGTGTAGAAAGTTCTGAAAGGTACATGGGAGCAGGCAGTCATGGCTGGTCCACTAAATCCTTCGTGTGAGGAGGATAATTTAATTTCTAAATTACACAAGCAAATGGGGCATAGGCAGCTGATAAACTTTCTACACATTAAAAAAAAAAAAAGATGGCTTTGAAACTGAGTTGGGCCCAGGACTCCAGATAGGGATATCCCTGTGGGAGACTGGAGTCGACAAGGGCAGAAATTGACATCTCTGATCAACTGAGAATCAGTCCTGCTGACAGAGGTGGGGTACCAATGGCATTTCACC